GGAGAATTGCTCAGTAGGTAGCTTCTGAATTGTTATGAGTCCAAGTATGCTTACTGTTTAGCAGGTATCCCACAAGGCCCTGCTACATGTATATAATAATCTGTAGGAAACATCAGCTATATTTAAAGGCTGTCTGGTAAACGATAGTGTTGTATCCTGTTATTTATCACTTGTATTTGTTTTGAGCAGATACTGTGAAACTGTCACTCCTATTTAGTGTTCCCTTCCTTTTCTTTCCCATTTATGTGTGGGCTGAAGCCTTCCTTTCCATAGCATCCACCCAAATGATTCCTTTTTTTTTTTCTTCCCCCAAGCTTAGCTACTCTGGGAGCATGAAACTCATCTGCCTTTAAGTTTGTTTCCCTTCTATGCTCAAAAAGTTAAAGAACTGTATGACCTTACTAGCTGACCTGTCCTGCCAATTGTTTTAGAGAAGTCATTCAGGTTTGAAGTGAACTCTCCCTCCTGTTGTCTGGGCAGCCAGGGCTCAGCTGATAACAGAGAGACAGACAGTCATTTCTTCCCTTGCATCAGATTTCCCTGTTTTGCCAGCACTGCATAAGCAGCATTTACAGCTCTAGTTATTTACGGTGAAGGATGCAATCTAAAGAACTGGTAGCTCTTTTGTAGTTGCACCGTTGCAAATTTTAAAAGGAGTTTCACAAAAATCAGAAAAGCTCTGACTTTTAAAATGTTCTGCTGTGAATTTTTTTTAGCTAATACCCTGACTCTGCTACTTCATCTTGTTATTTTTGCACTGAAACACACTGCTCAGATGCAAATGACTTTTTTTAACAAATGAGAACACAGAGGAGGTCATTTCAATAGTCAGTTTTTTGGTTTTGCTACGTATGTGTTGTTATACTGCATGTCTCCTGCAATCCCCTGTTCCTGTCTGTATCGTTAGCATTCGTTAATTATGTGTCTACATTTCTAGCTGGAATTTGGCACTTTCTCTGACCCAATTTCAGGCTGCATTATGTGAGAGCCTTCCTTGCTGGTTTGCAGACCCTCAGGCTCTGGCTTGTTGATGGTGGTTTCTGGAACTTGTGAAAACTGAAAGCTGCTTTGTTTCAGCCTGCAAAGAGATGCTGGGACCCGCTCCTGCGTGTGCGTTGCAGCTAAATTGCAAAGATAACTATTGTAGGTTGATTCAAACCAACCCAGGTGCAAAGACTAGTTTGTAACTGTGAATCTGCCAAGCAACTACCTTTTGTGTAGCTGGAGGTGGAAAAGAAGCGGATTACTATCCTCTGTTGAAATTCTAACTTAGCTGCAAGTAGGTTTTTGGGGGCCTGGAAGAGACAGCCCGGTTTTAATTGTAGCCATTGTAGATGATTGTTTGGCTCTATGCTGTTTGTTTTGTTTTCTTTGAATGGATAGAGAGGGATCCATTGTATATTGGCAGACTGGTAAAGCTCAGTGGGTGAGAACTTGGAATCTGCACTTGTCAGCAGAGCTGGGATTTTTTTCCTCTTTGGTAGCTCCTTTGTCGTGGCATAACACTGTCCTGCTCTTCTGTTCTTGTTTTTGCAGAACATCCAGAAGATGCTTGGCCTTGCTCCTTCCCGGGCTGCCACTAAGCAAGCAGGGGGCTTCCTTGGCCCACCACCTCAGGCAGGGAAGTTCTCCTAAAACACAGTCACAGCCTCCAGCCCAGGTCTGACAGCTGCAGCAGACTGCCTTCGGGGGTAACGAGATTGGATTCTACATCAGGCTTCCCGTGTGTTCAGAAACAGCCTTTGGAGCGTTGGCCACAGTCTTGGAAATGTCTTGCATATGGAGTATTCTACCAGCAGCTGTTTGCTCATCCACACAAAGAAAGTTCTCAGAAGATAACTTGACCTTTTTTTTCTGATGTTTCTGAGAAATAAATGGTATGGGCATGTTGATTTAGATGTCTCTTAATTGTGGTATAGGATCAGTAGAACTATCTTGATTTAAGAGCGCAGTTGATTTAGTCTGTGGCATGGAAGTCAACTCTGATTGCAAGAATGAGATCTGCAAAACAGGCAATTTAGAAATTCAGAACAATCATACTGTGACTTGTCCCTCATGTCTTAGTTGCACTGGCTAGAGCCCTGTATAGTATGGAGCTGGGCAAGTAGGTGTGCTTACTTCTCCTTTTATAAAACTTGCAGTGTTGAGGTTGAGTGTACTTTTTTTCTTGTTTGTTTGGTTTTTGGAGGTGCAGGAACCAGCCCTGTACCAGGAGGTTGTGAGGTTCTGGAGGTACTGTCACCCTGGCTGGCCAAGTACAGCCTCACAGAGGTTTCTGTGGCATTTACACTGCTTCCATTCAAGGTGTTCACTTAGGCAGAATTTGTGCAGTTACAGTCATAACTTGAAATACACTTGGCCTTCAAACTTAACTTCAGCAGACTGTTAAATTATGTCCGTGCTGTCCAGTGCTAACGAACCCTTTACTGCCTGAGGGCTATGACAGCAGCATCTCTGTGCCACTTCCTATACTGCTAAGCAGGCTGATGATGAGTATGCATCTTAAAGACCTCCAGCTTCCTCCTTAGGCATACTGAGGTATTGCTAGGAAGCTCCCTGTGCTGTCTTCTACTTTGTCAAATAATTATCTGGTTCAGTTTTGTTGGACAGAGCTCTCCCCTCTCGTTTGAAAGGGGAGAATAAATCTTACTGCCACGCTCAAGTTGGGCTGACAGTAGTTCTACTGAAGCATGCAATGACTGTAGGGACTGTTGCTTCCTTGCTTCTGTGACCAGAAACTTATAATATGGTACCTCTTTTGGGGAGTTTTTAACTAGCTGCATGGCAAGGGAATAAATCTGAACCATCTTAAGGCAGCGTAGTGCATGTGCATTACTGTCTCAAATACAGTGCTGGGATAATTCTCAGTAATAAGCGTGGGGCACTTTGACATGTCTACTTAAAGATGATAGATAAATCATTTATGGGCGTTGGACCTTAAGGCAGCATTATACCCTTCAAAACCAAATATTTGACAGGTTAAAGAATGTGTGTGTTGTACTCTGAAGCTGCCCGGCACGAGGATGCCAGGCTCTAAGGTGGCATTTTTGACATTCCATCTCGCCTGGTGTAGCTCGACTCCCACAAGGAGCAACCACAGTTGTGCAATTCCTGTTTGCCTTGTGTAGGCTCTGCTGGTTCAAGGACCTTGATCCCATGGCAAAGCTAACTAGCCAGAAACACCCCAACCCCTTTCCTTCATGGATCAGCTTTGTTGAATTAGTTTATTTTGCGGCATGTGGTTGTCAGATCCAACAGGATGGGTGGGGAACTGTTAGCGCCAAATCTGGTTAAGGTGCAGTTTGACGTTACCCCTAATGAATTGGGAAGTGCGTAGTACAGTAAACTTGTCTGATACTGTTGCACAGCCTCAGCAGGTCTGTTGTGTGTTCTGAAACACATGCATGGCATCACACCACACTTCCCTCGCTTGGGGAGGGAAGCCTTTGCATGTCCGAAGGTCCTCTGAAAATTATCAGTCTGTTGCTAGACTCTGCTCGCTTTCTCTTGTCACCTCAAAGTTGGATATAATCATTCCCTGGCGGTGGTTAATCGTTACAAGAAATTGAGAAGAACAATTTTCCTCACCAAGGCCACTAAAGGTCTGGATTCTGAGTCAAAGAAGTCCTGGGAAAAACAACATGTGACTTCATGAAGACTCTAGTTGGGAGGAAAACGGTTCTGTTTCACGAATAACTTTAATAATAATAAAAAAGCTAAGCCTTATGCACATATCAAGGTAAGTAGCCATTGGCCCGGGGG